ATTAAACAAATCGTGTGACATCATTGCTCACTGACAGAAGAGCAAGGCACACTAGACCTTCTTCAACCACTGCAACCAACTCCTCAGTTAAGAGAGAAGAATTCGTTATCTTTGCGCTCAATACTACTGTGGACTTTCTTTCCAACACTGAAGAGTCGTAGGGCTCACTACATAATGAGGGTGGTACTAGAGACACTAGACAACAACTGATCCAGTTATGACAAAGACCAAACCGACAAATGTAGATATATGGTCCCAATTTCTATGAGCAGGTGATGGAGAAGTCAACCAATAGAGAACTTTCGAAATGGACATGTTCGCTTTTTGTTTCCGCAACCTCGACCAACCGCAGACACGCCGTTTCGCGCTGAAAATCTGACAACAGATGGTTTGCCCAGTTGAGTTTCATCCTCATCCCACACGATGAAAGATGACGGAAGACCCCTACGCTACCGGCTCATAACTGCTCGACGTCATGCGCAGTGCTCAATACAGAGCTATTAAAATATTGAGAGTATCGCAACTTGATTAGCTGCAGGTGGTGTTGTTTCAGACACCATCGATCAACTGAAGATCTTCAAACTCACGTGACGTAACTGTAGACTAAGCTTGTCCAGTCATATGTTGATTATCATTGTACTGTCCTGTAAGCTTTCGTCTTATGACGACTTAGGGAGGCTTTGCAAATGGGTCACCGATTTTTCCTCCGGACAGCTGAAGTAATCTCCAATCATCCAAATATGCCAACGTAGGTGCTCCCTAAGGATCGGTTTTGACATTAGCACTTCTTCTGTTACACAACAATTACTCACTCGCTTCCACAATAAATCCGATCCACAGCTACTAGGATGACAGCACTTTATATGCAGGTATCAACAGTCTCAGAGAAATTCTTGAGGGAGCGACTTCAGATTTTAGATACCCGGTAATGAGATAAATTAGTCGTCACTACAAAAAATGTATTCAGAAAGTTGGCAAGAGTTTTCTCGTTAGAGTTTCAATTGACATTGTCAGCACCCCTCTTCTAAGCTAGTTATCAACCGCACAAAACCTTCAAGTAATGTTACTTGGAAAATTAGCTTTCCATTCAGATGATTTTACCACCCATCTAGGTCGCAAGCAGATGATTTCGTTATCTGTGATTCCTAAGCACCATCATGCAGAATTAAATTCTGTATGGTGAGGACTTTCCTTCCCTCGAGCGATTCCAATACCAATTACATTACCCGGTGTCACCCTTGACTGCCTGGGGACATTCCGATGCGGTGTACGTATGCTACTACTTTTCTTTTCTTGTTAGCTTCATAGATCGGGCTAACTAGACAAAAATGTAGCCTGTTGTAGAAAAATTGTTTAGGCGATTCTTAAAAGTACAACTAGGACATACTCAGTGACAAAAAAAAATAGAACATCCAGTAAAAATGATTTTATTTGGATGACATTTTTTGCAGTTGAACATAAGTAAGAGGGACTTCTGATTAAGCCTTGAAGTGAAATCATTTACGGTATCCCTAGATTTCGATAATAATGTGTTGAGCCACATTGATGCCGTATACTCGTACATTCGCCCAGCCGTCCAGGTATGCTAGTATTTCTTGGATAAACAGTCACCTCTTCTAATGGAAGATGGAGCTATCTTAGCACCATATACAGTGGCAACTCAAACCATAACTTCTACAATATGGTGCATGTAAAGTTTAACTGAAAGCTGTACATCATGTCTTTCTCCGAGACAGCTCGTGACTTGTATACGTCCATCATGCATCCATGAATCAAAACTGAGACCAAGAACAATAGGGATTAAGAATGGAATAACATTGTTTTTGATGATCTCGTCGCGGAGAAAACGTCACGTGTACCACACTCTAGCAGTTGCCATTCAAATATGGTATCACTTCTAGATTCAATTAAATGAGATATAAAGTGCAACGGTGCACCCAGGAAATACTGGATCCCTGTTTTTGCCACATTTTCGCCTATTTTCTAACAAGACAAACGGCCTTAGCCATATAACTAGAACTACAATAAACTACGTCAGTAATGGTCAAATCAGCTTCCTTCCTTGCTCTCTTATTATTATTATTATTATTATTATTAAACAACAAATTTGAGTTGAGTACAAGTACTATAAACTCAAACACAAAAATAGATAATAGTGTACAGACAAAAGAAATATAACAAATTGACATTCTTAGCACTACTGAAGTAGACATATACAGAATGGGAACAATATGTTAAGCACTGCGGTGTCTATCGTAATTGTTTTTGAAACTGTTGACGGATTCCGAGTTCACTACATAAGATGGAAGACTGTTCCATGCATCGAAGACACGGTTTGAGATGAAGCGCTGACGAGTAGACGTTCTAAAAGCTTCCTTCTGCAATTTGAAGTTATGGCCTCTGAGACTGTTCGTTGCCAGACGAAACAGATGCGACATGTCCACACCAAACAAATTATGCAGTGCTCTGAAAGTGATGATGAGATCTCCTCGTACTCTTCTATCAGCAAAAGCAGGCAGGTTATATAGCTCGAGGCGGTCTTCATAACTTGGCCTACGTGTGCCATATGGCATACGTGTTGCACGACGCTGAACGGCCTCTAATAAGCTGCTATCGCGAACAAGGTTTGAATCCCATACCGGACCAGCAAACTCCAGTAGGGGTCGTACGAAAGTTGTGTATAAAAAGGAGGAGGTACTAACGGTGCAACCGCTAAATGACCTTTCCATCATATATAGCAACCGCTTTGCCTTAGAGGTTATGTTCTGAATGTGCTCCGACCAGGTGAGCCGGCCATTAAGTGTCAGACCAAGATCTGTGTGATGAAGAACAGACTCTAAGGTATGTTTGCCAATCTTATATGTTAAGTTAGGATTATTCTTTCCCAGGTGGAGAACGTAGCATTTCGATAGATTTAAAGGCAGGAGCCAGAGTTCTGACCACTTTCTGATCAGCTTGAGGTCTTCTTGAAGCACAGATGAGTTCATGACAGTGTTATAGACTTTAGTATCATCTGCATAGATGGAACACATAGAATAAAGTCGGGTGGGAAGGTCGCTTGTATAAAGAAGAAAAAGTATTGGCCCTAGCACAGATCCTTGTGGAACTCCAATAGTAACACGATGACTAGAAGAATAGGCGTCTCCAACACGGACGGAGAAAGATCTGTCTAACAAAAAAGCTTCAATCCATAACAACAAATTTCCCCTGATTCCGAGATGTTCAAGCTTGTGCAGGAGCCTTTTATGCGGAACTCGATCGAAAGCTCTGGAAAAATCCAGAAAAACCACGTCGACCGGTTCATTTGCGTCTAAAGATCTGGTGCAATTGTCAATGCAGTGTAACATGTTGGTGATAATTGATCTACCAGGAATAAAACCATGTTGGTTGCTAGGCAGCAGGTTGTTCTTGAACGCAAATGTCATAAGTTGTTCCTGGACGATCTTTTCGGCTATTTTCGCAGCTATAGGCACAAGACTGATAGGACGGTAGTTTTTCGCAGATGTTTTATCTCCTTTTTTGTATATAGGTGTCACAGATGCAGTACGCCAACAGGAAGGAAGGATGTGGTTTTGAATCGAGGAGTTGAATATAATGCACAGGGGGTATGCGAGAGCTGAGGCACAGGACTTCATAACGGCAGAAGTAATCCCATCCTTTCCAGGGGACGAACAAGTTTTCAGTTTAGTAAGGTGCCTCTCAATGTCCTGAGGTTGAAAATCTATGCTACAGATGGTCGCTAGGCATCTATGAGGGCTGGATAAGTTCGGAAGAGTACCATCACCATCAGGTTCATTCACAAAGTCTTCACTGAAAGCATCGGCAAGAAGATTGGCAGATTTTTCGGCATCAGTATGTAGGTGGCCATTGGGATCACGGATTTGTGGGGAAGAAACCTTAGAGTTCAGGGTGGATCTCAAGTATCTAAAATACTTCTTATCTTTTGATGATACAAGATTTTGCTCATAATTGCGCTTTCAAGTTCTTCGAAAGGATGTTAGAGAAAGATCGATGAGATACATAATCCTGTTGTAGTCTACTTCTTTGGAATCTTTGCCATAACGCTTTTTTATGCCTCAACATCCTTGAGAGGTTATGGTTAATCCAAGGCTTTCTTGGGTGACTGAATATCTTCTTTGTGGTCGTATGCCCAGTGACTTCCAGTTGGATTCGACGAGAGAATATATCCCACATATCTTCAGTGCTACGTTGTGCAAGCAGGTTGGACCAGTTTATTTCAGACAATGCTAGATTGAGAGCACTGTAGTTTAATAGCTTCACAGTTTTGAAATGTCTACGTGATGGAGTTTGTACATAGAATTGAAGTGAGGTCAATAAGGTACAGTGATCCGACTTGCCAAAAGGAGGTAGGTAGTCTAGACTGGAAACAAAGTCAGGATCATTTACAAATATCAGGTCGAGAGTTCTGGGAGTATGGCCTTCTCTGAATCTCGTCGGATGATCTACGAGTTGGAGGATGTTCGACTTACGCATTAAATCGATATAAGGGGCAGAAGGAGAGTTGCATTCTGGTAATGTTGTCATGGGCCAGCTGATGTCACGTAAGTTGAAATCACCAATTAACAGAATGTTTGAATTCTTGGTTAGAAGTTCTTCGATAAATTTACACAAATAAACATCACCAGCACAGGGACGCGGTCTGTAGATACAGGCTAATACAAAACTGAAGTTTGGCCGTGTTAGTTCCAAAAAGAGACTGTCGATACCATCGAAGCTCTTGGAGGTAGTAGTTATTGTGAAATTGTCAGCGAATTCGGTACGTACATAAACACAGACCCCACAATACCCCGGCGTGCGAGGGGAATCTTCCCTATACAAACAGTAACCAGGCAAATTAACAACATAGTCAGGTATATTAGGGCTGAGCCAGGTTTCTGTCAGACAAAGAAACGAAGGTTTGGTTCCATCAACAAATGCTAGCACTTCGAGAAGTTTAGATACCAGTGACTGAATGTTTGTGTAGCACACCGACACCTCGGTTAGCAGTTTTTTGATACAGAAGATTGCTGTGCAACAATATTGACAATGGATGGTCTACCCTTGACATATTTAATCGTGAAATTGCGTTCTCCAGCCGTTAGCCTTCGTTTCAACTCCTCACGTAGTTGCTGCAGCTCATGCATTTGTGACGGTGTTTTGTCGTCCAAAATTTTAACGGAGTTATAGGTAGAGTGGCTCAAAATATCATTCTTCTTGCGTAGAATATTCTTAGCTATTATAGGCGATGCAAAGCCAACCTTTATCAACCGAGGACGAGATGTACCTACAGCACCAAGTCTGGTCATGTTGAGGCGGTATCCATTAGCAGACGGTTCGATGTGGTTGATTATGTCTGTTACGGAATCAGAATCATTGTTGCCTTCAGGAAGACCTTTCAGGATAATATTGTGAGATCGTCTGAATATTTCCCAAGTTTCAGTCGGAGATGATGGGATATTGTTAGCGTTGGTATTCAACGATCTATCATTTACCAGTGCATTGGTCAGTCTAGATTCAACGTTCGAAATGTTGGATAAGATAGATGCTTGCGCACTTTGGAGTTGCTGAATACTAGCCTCACAATTAGAGATCAGTTCGTCATGGCGAACAATAGAAGCCGAATGCTGTTGTAGCAATGACATACAATGGGAGACATCGTTGCTTAGTTGTGCTTGTGAGTTTTTTGATGTCTCTAATGTCATTGGCCATGGTCGACAATTGACACAAAATGAGTGCTAGAGGATCAGAAGCAGTCGCTTCGTCAGACCGATGAGGGGAGACCGCTGGTCGAGCACTAGTTGATGAGGACGACGAGTTGCTACGAGCATGCTGAACAAACCCATTTGTTGTCACCGTTTTCGGCGAAATAGCCGATCTCTTTAGTGGTCAGGTTAACACAATTAGCGTGGTGACTTAGATCAGACTTTTCAGATATTGAACCTGTATGCCATATGTTGGGAAGAAAAGTGACATCTTTACCTCGTCCTCCACAAACACTAACAATTTTATGGAACCAAGTACAGACTGTTTGGGAATATCGGGGAAATCTAGTGATACAGAAAATGTTTTTACTTCAAAATTTTGATTACTACTTCTTGACCATGTCTACATGCATGCACAATTTCCTTCAAATAAGGACATTTTTATTGGGTATTCTATTTTCTTTAACACTAAGTGGAAGTTTTTTATAAATAAAATGAATCCGGACATTAAGGATTGCACATGTGGAACAAGCAAGATCGTTGATCATGAGAACGAACTTATTGAGTAACTCAGTTTTGGATTTAAAATTAAGCAGAAAGCTTTGTTAAAGCATACGTGCCTCCTGTCCATCTGCTCGTCTTTATTTATCACAAGCATATCACTATGGACAGATTTAAAGCGTTCGTGGGTTTTCAGATGAATAAAAAAGTAGTCAAGTACATGAGTAACAGAAGCCCCTCAAACATAGGAAAACAGCTTTTTCACTCAACAGATATGAATTCATCGTCTCTAATGCATGCTGCCCAGGACTGCAAAAATATGAATTGTCAGTAATCTTGAATGGGGGTCGATCATCGGAAAGAGACAACTTTTTGTGAAAGTTTACCTGCCCCAAATCTTTGTGAAGAGCATAAATGTATCGCTGCTCAAAACTTTTTAGGTAGCATGGGGTATCAAGTTTCCTCAAAGAGGGAGACAAATGAAAATCAACAAATTGTACTCAAAGTCATGTTAAATATGCAAATCGTGAGGGAAGACTTGTTGCTGCTCATGGACAGAAAGAAAGAAAAAGAACAAATAACAAATAAATTATATTGTTGGGGATACATGGAAAAGTCCTAGAAATATCAAATATTTTACGGTCATATAATTTTTTTTGTATCTCTAGATGAGGAGCTCTTACACTCACCTCCAAGGTAGAAATAATACAAAAACAATGTTTGAAAATCAATTCTATATCCATCTGATATGTTATACTCCAAAGCGGAACTATTCGATCTTAGGCAACCCCTTTTTTACACTGTTGTAGTCAATTTGTTAAAAAATAGAACAAACCTCATTTCCTTGGATCACAAGTATGAAACAAGAAGTAAAGTCGATGATATTTACAAAAAAGATGTAGGCCAAATCTCCTTCAGTTACCTCTCCACTAGATTTTATATATGTATACAATGTGTTTTGTCACGACATACCGATATTTAAGAGAGATATTTTTCAGCTATTTTTATCGACAAATTTACCTCCCTACAATGTTCTACCTCATCCCCCTTGAAATGGCAGCTATTTTTATTTTTATGTTACGATTACGCTAGGGCATGTAAAAAAATTGTAACAACTGAGTACATAAGTGTCACAGAATGATAAATTTGGTGTAATTCGAACGATAGCGTGTTGACCTAGCGATTATTGAAAAACTTGTATTAGTATCAAACATACTTAAAAACAGACAAAAACAGAAAAAAACCTGCAGGAAAATTAATTATTTTGTGCATTTCCGCATACCATTCAAAAACTAGTCTGTGAAGTTGTACTTTTTTTGTGCTAATTCCACAGCTAACTATGTTATCTACAAAATGACACCAAATTTGTTACCCTATGTTAGTTATTTTAAGTACAAATATTGCTTAAACATGACCCTTAGGAAGCCTCTCCGATTTAGGTAGCGGACCGAATCCAACATTCCTGGTATAGAGATGAATGTATTGAGAGTGTGAGTGAGACAACATCTACCGAAAGGTCTCGTTATCGAGATGGTAACAACCGGTTATTTGTTGTCAATGTCATATTGAGTGTCGCCACGCGTTGTGATCATACGTCCATTTTGTTACCATTGCTGACTAGTTTCAATATCAATTTTCTGAACGTGAGTTGGAAGTGATTTGTGACTGAACATTTTATTAGTCATACCTAAGTCTGTATCATGCCAAATCGTCCACGTAATAAATTTTCAAATCAGCATGCTGCTGATATGGTGTTTGTTTACGGCTTTTGCAATGGAAATGCCGCAGTTGCTGTGAGAGAATATCGAAGACGATTTCCTGACCGAATTACGCAAAATGGTAGGACTTTTGTCTTTACATGCCTGAGACTGGCGGAAAATGGGATTCAAAGGCCAGTAAACAACCGTTATCGGCTACTGTCTCCATGATGTTGATGAAGGAGAAATTCTCAACATGATTACCCGAGATCCGAGAGTTGGTGTGAGGAGGATCGCTGCAAGACTACACTTGTCACATCGGTCGGCTTGGAGAGGCCTTAAGAGAGAAGGTTTACATCCCTATCATTTTAGAAGAGTTCAGGATCTTCTTGAGCCAGATTATGCAGCAAGAATCATAGTTTGCACCTGGTTTCAACGGCAGCTGCGCCAAAACTGCAACTTCTGGGAAAAAATTCTGTGGACGGACGAAGCAAAATTTATGAGGCAGAGGATCATAAACCATAGAAACGACCACTTGTGGTCTTTGTAAAACTCTCATACAGTTCGACCGAGTACTTTACAACAGAAAACGGGGTCTCAGTCGGCCCAGTTGAGCTATCTCCAAGGTTAGATGCCCTGGGATTGGAGTACCTGAGGACGGAGTTTGCAGATCTACTCCATGATCTGACACTTATCAACCGCCGCAACATGAGGTTGCAGCTTGACGGAGCTCCCGCATACTTTGCGCGAATTGTACGAGAACATTTGGGCAACATTCCCCATGGAAAGGTCGTGGAAACACTGTCGCTTGGCCACCCGATCACCCGATTTAATGCCCCTAGATTATTTTTTCTGCGTCACAATGAAGCAAAAAGTTTACTGTCATGTGTCGGTGACCTGGAAAGAGCTCGTGAAAAGGATCCATACCGCTGCGAACGGAATTAGAGCTGTCACGGATATAGTCCACCGCTGAACACGACACATGGTTTTAAGAGCAACAATGTGCATAACCAATAATGGAGGACATTTTGAACAGCTTCTGTAACATTGAACATGTCCAAACTCTTCACGAGAACCATTGATTTGTCAGTTTTATGTATAAAGAGTTTGAAAGCAATTTGCATTTTATTACACCCATTTTGACCAATGTTGGATAACATCTATTACTTAACGTAGAAGACTTAGGATAACAGATTTGGTGTCATTCTGTAGATAACATACTTAGCTGTAGAATTAGCACAAAAAAAGTACAACTTCGCATGCTAATTTTTGAATGGCGTGCGGAAATGCACAAAATAATCAATTTTCATGCATATTTTTTCTGTTTTTGTCTGTTTTTAAGTATGTTTGACGGTTAGTATCAATACAAGTTTTTCAATAATCGCCAGGACATGTGATCGTTCAAATGATACCAAATTTATCATTCTGTGACACTAATGTTATTACAGTTATTACAATTTTCTTACATGCACTAGCGTAATCGTAACTTAGAAATAACAATGGCTGCCATTTCAAGAGGGGTGAGGTAGGACATTGTAGGTGGTGGATTTGTCGATAAAAATAGCTGAAAAATACACCCCTTAAATATCGGTATGTTGTGACCAAACACATTGTATATATATTTATATATATATATAAATATATATATATATATTAATATTTATATATGTATATATATATATATTTATATATATATATGCATAAATTATAATAGTTTAAACGTGAATAAACTGATATTATTATTATCATCATTATTGTACTTGCGTTGTAAAATGTGTTGTAATGTGTAATTGCGTTGTAAAGCTGTCGACTCGTGAAGTGTGCCATATTGACCAATATTTTAATCTGTGACCTATGCGTTATTTTCGGTTGTCCTTAGGGTATCGAATTGTGGGACAATATACCTGGATGGATGCTTTTCCCAGTTCCACAAACATTAGTCAGTTCAAAAATCGGATTAACAAAGTTTCTTTTAGCTGTTCATAGCAGCCGCAGTGCCCTGGTGTTTGGACTTCTGCCACGTGCTTCGGTACAAAAAATTAATGTTGTTTACTGATTGATGTTTTTTTTTTTTTTAGAATCCGTGTTTCGAAAGGGGATTTTAACATTATTATCTTATTCAAGCGTTCTGTAACGGATCAAAATTCTCATACAGTATTCTTTGTAGTGTGTCCTGATGAAGAGAAACCCCATTTCGAAAGCTCAACAAGAACGGAGAACAAACTTTGTTTCTGGTCTGAAATTCTTTGCGCTGTGGCTGCACTCCCAAGTATAGTATATTTTGTAAAATGTCTGTACATTTTTTTCTGAATCTTCAGTCTGGTCTATAATACGAGTATATGGATTACTAGACGTGGGAGTACCGGTTCAAACAGATAAACGGAAGTATATAAATACATAGCCGAAGAGATCTAGTTTACAATAATAATAATAGCTTTATTTTCCAACAGTTTCCCATTTATAGGTCAATTTATAAACATAATACAAAAGCAAAAAAAGAAGCGAAAAAAGGCGAAAAGAAAACAACAAATGCAACACAGGTATAAATTTGTAACATGAGCTATTGGTCCTAATAAGCCTTAGCTGCCGTTAGCAGGTAATTAACATTTGTCGCAAATATATTACAGTAACATCCAATTCTCTTTAAGTTAGAGCACATTACATATAACGGTGACTTGAGGAGAATGTTTGTCCTAGCTCTAGGAAGAACGAATATTTTATGATTGCGAGATGCAGACGTTGGAGTGCGAAACTTGATCTGTTCCAGGATCATGGGGCAATCAATTAAATTGTTGATCATTTTGTAGCCAAATATTATTGAGGCACAGTACCTACGTTTTTTCCAAGTCAACATGTCTAAGCGACTACATAGTTCCTCATTACTTGTACCTCTCTCTGGATATGTCCCATCAATGCTAAACAGAATAAACTTCATAAACTTCCGTTGTTCTTTTTCAATAGCTGTGCTATAGCATTCATAGTAAGGGCTCCAAATAATACTACAATATTCGACTTTGGATCTAACATAAGCATAATATAATAGCTTAATAAACTTTATGTTATGAAAATTCCTGCAATTCCTTACTATGAAACCATAAGCCACCAATGCTTCTGATGCTTTTTTATTTATATGCCGACTAAAAGTTAACTTTTGATCATAGATTATACCTAAATCACGTACATCAGAGCATCTTTCTAGCACAGACCCATCAATAGAGTACGGATATTCGCAAATAATAGTTTTCCTGGTATAGCTGACTATTTTACACTTCCTCAAATTAAGCTCCAACTTGTTTTCTACACACCAAGACAGCACAAAATTTAATTGGTGTTGTAGCTTGATACAATCATCAGGAGTATTTATCTGCGAATAAATTTTTAGGTCGTCAGCAAAGCATAGGCGTTCACATTCAACTGAGTCACAGAGGTCATTAAGAAATATCAAAAATAGTAGTGGTCCCAGGTTGGACCCCTGAGGAGCTCCAGAAGGTGCCAAGTAGGTCTCAGATTGGAAGCCATTATAGCTAACAAATTGTCTACGATCAGATAAGTAAGATTTCATCAACTCCCTAGCATCATCTGTGAAACCAAGTGCACCTAACTTGTTTAATAAAGTTTTGTGGTTAATAAGGAAACTTCGGTGGATGTTCAGACTCGTAGAAACAAACAGAAAAGTAATAGTAACCGGAAAATATGAAGGATTCATTCCAAGAAACGGGGGTGCTGTTAAACTCAACGTGGGCCTGCTCTATAGAATTATCATGTAATCATCCAAAAAACGTCTCCAACCTTTGCCAAAACTAAACGAAATCAAGAAGAAGTAGAAATACATCATTGAATGATTTATACCAGAAAAATTACAAATGGACCACTTAGCCATAACAATGTCTGAAATAACCAACCGTTTCGAAACCGCCAAACAAACCTTATTGACTACGCGCCAAAATAAAAAGGAAATGTTTGAAAACGCCCAAAAGTAAGAAACGCATTTTTTAAATTTATCGTTATCCCTGCATTTTTTTTATCGCAGCTAAAAATTATTATAATGGAATCATCGAGTTTAGGAAGTCCTTGGAACTTTATTGGCTCTTGCCGGTAGCTTAAACGCTATTTTAATTTAAAAAGTAGCACTAATAGCTGCGTACCAGAGTTCTAGTTTTATTCAGATGAATTAGTTGAAAAATATAACAAAGGGTAAAAGTTAGCGACAACAAGTCGAAAGCTAACGTCCACAGGTAATCCTAATTTATGTTCGAAACTTCTGTAAGGTGCGAAGGTGTTTCTATCAGAATAGTTAACGAGTGAAGAAGTAGAAAATATTACAAAAGAAAAATCTATTATGTGCGGTGGATTTTCTGGCGATTTTCTGGAAATATGGGAATATTCTAACGATGCATATTTTGGTATTCTGTGAAGTAAGTTGGAAAATGTGCAATTACTTCGAATCCTTTCTTTTGTTAATCCGATCTTTGAACTGCCTAAAGGTACTCTAGGAGTAGCCGTATCTGCCACTTCTGAATCTACGAAGTTCGACACGATTAGGATGGAAGACCGAAGTCAGGCGGGAAGATCTGGCAAGTACACCACGCGGCGGCATCATGGAGAACAGCTCGTATGAGCTAAGCCTCTTGGAGTAGAGATAGAGCTAGATAGACGTCAAACATGTGAGCAGTACTCTAGGCTAAGTCTTATCTGCACCTTGTACAGAGTAAGTAGGTAATGTGGAGAAAAGTACTTAGCCCTAAACAAAAAGCACAGCAGCTCCAGCAGCTGCAGCTATTGACGAGATGTGTTCATTCCAGATCAAGTCGTCGGTGATTTGGACACCGAGCAGCCGAAATGAACGGCTTCTGGGTAGAACTCGGCCGTCCATCAAAACCGAATGATTGCTAGGACGCTTCTTGTTAGTCAAGGTACAGTACTGTTGTACTGATGTGCTGTGTTTCGTAAGCATTAACGCACTGGATATATTTCAAGGAGATATACATTATCTATTAAGAAGCATACTCCTACGACCTGCAGAGTGTGTATCACTTTATTAGAGATACAGCAAGCTGTTTCCCTTCAAACTTTAATCACAACTTCCTCCAACCAATTTGTTACTAAATATAATATTTTATTTAATTGAAACTACAGGGTGACTTTGAAGTTGAGTCATTAATTTTCAGATAATGATTGTAGAAGGAAGATAAACCAAAATATGTGTGTAAAAATAAAAAAAAAATTAAAAAAAAATGTTACCTTGTTTTATAAAGTATCCTCCCGACAAGTATTTCAGTGCGGACCTGTATTTGATCGTGAGGTCTTGGAGCACCGGCATACCGTCCATATGTGAGGTCTTAAGTCAAATGATTCACGAACCCGTTGTACTACCTTAACAAAGGCACGAGGGGTTGGTTGCACTCGATTTGGAAACCGATCCGCATAAACATGTGCCATTTTTTATTTCGTTTGAGCCACGCAACAGACACCACTATTCACTACCGACTGACACTGACTGTATACAACTGAATGAAATAATTGTAAAAACATCGTTCCAAATTCTTTCGCTTTTTTGTTTCCGATGCGATGAACCGATAAGGCGGATTATATCCGTTGTCGCCAAACACGAGCACATAATATTATTATTGAGACAGGGCGGCACTCAAACTTCCAAAGGGCTATAACTTTGTTACTTTAATTTTACCAGAAAAATGGTAAAGGAAAAACATTTCTTTTGATCAGATCTACTCACTGTTAAAATAAATGACTCAACTTCGAAGTCACCCTGTATTTTCGCTGGTTGTATACACAATTTAATTCAAATAAGATCATGTTTACTGGGTATTCTATTTTATTTGACACTGAGTATATAAATCTGCATATACGGCTCTAGAAAACAAGTATTTTTATTAACACCTTGTAAGTTATTTCACAAATAGAATGAGCCCAGACATTGAGGTACGAGCACAAATGGAACAAGCAAAATTATTGTTCATAAGAATGAAGAACTTATCGAGCAGCTCAGTCTCAGTCTCAGATTTAAAATTAAGCATAAAGCTTTGTTAAGGGATATGAGCACGTCTGTCCTTCTTTATCTATCAGAAGCATAGTCACCAGTTAACACTAAGTTATACACTGTCTTTTAACTACTCGTATTTTATTCATGATCATAACTCCCATTTATCGCTGCAGAAATTGAATTGGTGCTGTATGTG